GCAATTGAAATGCTAGTGCTTTCAGCCTGCCTGACCCTACTAATTATAATCTCTACCATATGACTTCCCTCTTTCCTTGCGTCCAACAGTTTCCTCTATATTGCAACAACTAGCTCCTTCTTATGTTTGTAGGAAAATTACATTATATTTGAGCACAGCTAATATTGAAAAAATTACTGATTTTTCAAACAGACTATCCAGGAAGAATCATGAGCTGGTAGAAATTCAAATGATTTTTGTGGCATTCTTACACAAAAGCTTGTATATCCGGGACGACAGATTTTGCACCAGTTCAACCTGGATGAAGTGTTGTCCAAGCATGACATGTGGGATCTGATTAGCTTACAGTCATAGATTGAACCATGACAAAGGACTATCCTTTCATGCATTGAACTATCAAACAAATATAGCTAGCTTACAGACAAAGCTGCTATATAAAGCTTTACTTCTATTGCCCATCATTAACTCTTTTTTCCATGAGGCCCCCTTACACTGTCAGGTGCAATAAAATAGATCGGAGAGTCCAAACAGTGTTATTTTCATCTCTAGCAACAATCAGTCTCTCCCAGGCTTCGGGAGCACAAACATCCACTGAAATATGATGTTTTTAACGCTATTCATTGTGAACCTGATAACCATGTTTTGACTCCTCTTCTGCCAATACAAGTAAGTTGTTTTCTGATTTGAGGGTGAATATCATGCATGAGTACCTATTTGTAGCTGTTGTTTTACCAGAAAAATATAAAGGTTTTGAACTGCCATGGAACAGATATAAAGTGGGTACAAACTTCCTACTGCAAGAAAAGGTACCTATATCTTAAGTCTGCTTTTTCTGGTTCCACACATGTTATAGTCGCATACACCGTTTATGCAAAATGGGGCAAAATTGAAGGATGAGTGCTGCTGATGTCCAGGAGCCACATGCAGGAGGATTCACCTCTGCTTAAGGGGGTGGCAAAGGGGGTTGGGATGCTACCTCTATGCAGCTCTACACTAGGGAAAATTTTTCTCCTAACTATGCCCTCCTTGCCTTGACGACTAATATCATCTGGGCTTGCTAAGGAGTCTGAGCTATTCTTCTCGTCTGCCTTTCTAAATTTCTTCCAGACTTTTTCTTCTCTGTTCCCCAGCCTAAGCTAGTGGGTGAAGATGCTCTGCCTGAATTCTTTTGTTCCCCACCTAGACCATATCAATGATTCATCCTACAACATTCGGCAAATCCATTAACATTACCTTGCATCTGTTTACCCACTCGCAACGTGGCAATGATAAAAGCAAAGGTCTCACTTGTTTTTCCGTACAGGATGTTCCAGACTTTTACTGAAACATATATAGTGCTTGGAGATGTTGAAATGAATAAAAGCTGCTGCAAACCTCCACATGTATGGATCCAGTTGCCACATTACAATCTGTGTGGAGCTGCATTTCAGAAGGTGAAAGCCAGCGATATAAGTTCATGGCAAATTAGAAGGGTTGTGCACTCTGAGGATCTTTATTCTCTAAGTCAACGCCCTGAACATTAAAGATACTGGTCAAAATGTAATCGGTCAGCTGACGATTCTAAAATGCAGATATCAGCTGCTAAAGTACACAGTAGCTCTAGACAATTTCAAGGTTTTCCCTTGCCATATATATACTATTATTTCTTTACTGCAAAAGGTTGTACAAAACCAATCTCTAATACTCTGCTCTGAAACCATGTACATTAGTTAGTGGTAAAATAATTATTCGGACAACATCAACATTTCTTGCTTTCACAGCAATGTTTGAGCTAAAGAGAGATGAATATAGCAGCTTAAAAGTCCTATGACAGTTTTTTTTTTATTTATAAGTAATATAGTTTCAAGCAGTAAATCAGACTATTTCTGATTTTAACAGTACCACAGGAAATCAGCTAATCCAAATATTTTAGTAGCACCATTTACAGTATTTAACCAGCATGGATACTACACCTTTACATCCTAATTAATCTGAAAGGTATTTCTGCCGTGTAACGATTTTCCTCCAACTCCTAGTTAATTCCTAATTTAGATGCTGAAGTTTCAAAACTGGGTTCTGAAGATCCAGCACTCAGACTAGATTTCAGTCCTAATTCCCAAGTTCTTTAAGGCCACTGAAGGGCTAGAGATAATTTTTCTCAGACTCATAATGCCTGAAATGGCAAAGAACTACCCGTAGTTACATGGCTTTCATCTGCCCCACTCTACTAACAGAAAGATTTGTGGCCTTACCAGGAACTAGAAGATAGCACAGCCTTGAAAGTAAGGAAACAGAGGATGTTTAAGGAGGACACATTTAATTATTTCAAACACGTGCCTCTCTCCCCAACACTGAAAATATTTAAAGGTACAGATTTCATCTAACAAGCCCACACAACTCAGATACACCTGTTTAGCTTATGGCTCCAAAATGGGGGAGAAAAAAAAAAAGGCTAAAAAAGGCTATATGGTATTTGCCTTCTGTGAACTTGAAAGGGAAGCCAAGGACATTTAGCTCAAAACTAGCATGAGTTTTTCCTAAACTGAAACATCACCCACTGGAAACCTCACTCTCAGCTTGTCAGGGTGGACAGACAAGAAAATCTGGTTAAAAACAAGTCTTCTACCAGGGTATGAAGCCCATTTGGGCACCAGTGTAACCAGCTGCCTTGACTTCAGTGAGCAGGCGGCAGTAAGAGAGCACTGCAGCTGGCATATGAAGCACCAGGGCTTATGTTCTCTTAGGTCCCAACTTTAGCTTCCATGCCATTTCTACTTTCAAATGTTTTCTTTATGAATTAGTAATAACATTTTGCAATTCCTGCTCACAATAAGGAATGTTCACACAAAAAAGCATTTAACAAACCAGCCCTATGTAATAAAAGCTATAAATTGCCAGATTTGTGGTGCAGGAAATATATTTAATTGACTGCTACACAGCGAAACTACATACCACTGTTTTTGTTGGTTTCCCTTTGCCAGGTCACCCAGATCAGCACTATTTTGGTATCAGACTTTGTTATAATTAAACGGCTTTTTGGATGGGAGCAGTTCTTTGATTGCCTTGTTTAATTAATACATTATTTGGAGATGTTCTCTATAACCTGCCCCTATCAGAAATAGATGATAATTTCCAGAACCATATTACTGTGTTAACAGGTGTAACTGCTGAGAATTCATAAACTGGTCCAAGAAAATTATGTAGCCAGTAAACAACTACTTAGAAATGCGGTCTTGGCCAGCTGAGCTGCAAATTTGGGTAATGAGTCGACTTTGCTGCTGCTATGTTTGTGCTCTACAGAAACGAATGCCACCACAGAAAACAGGCTGTAATTGTATCATAACTATTTATTAGTGCATGACTCCTTTTATAACGTAATCATTTGCAAGAGTGTAAAAAATTGTTTTTAACATTTTTTATGCTAACGAACCAAATGTGCTTACCTTCCCTCAAACCTCTCACTTCTCCCTTCGATCTAGTCAGCTACAGGGCTGACAGATCTAATTTAGGTAATTTGGGCCTACACATTTTGGAAATACAGAACACTTCACGCTTTTTGTTAAAAATAAGGAATTTGCTGTGTTTAATTTGATCCAAATTCCCTTCAGCACGGAAGGCGGTGCCTGTGCAATGTAATTTTCCTCTCCCAAGAGCCTCCTCAAGCGCTGCTAGAAGTGAGGTTATGTCAGCACCTTGGACTGGCTTTAATCGACATGAGTAAGTCTGGGAGAAGCTGTTTTCTCTATCTTTTTAGCCCTGACTTGAACATTTCTTCCAGGTTGATGAATGCAAACTTGGGTAGTCAGCGTCACCCAGAAACTGGGGACCTCACCAATTTTATAGGAGTTTCAGAACTGTAGCTCCTTGGGCTCTTAAACTGAGAGTGTTTCAGGCAACACCAACCAACAGTGACACGGTAGGGTATGAAGTCTACAAGGGAAAAAGCAGCAGTATAAAATGAAAATAAAAACACATTTAGTTATCTTTCTTTTGCAAATGCATATATTCCTCACTTTTGACCTGCTGTACAAAATATATATGTATACAACAAATTAAGAAGTACTCACTCTTAAGTGCTTACAGGAAAAAAAAGTGATTGGTTGCCTCCTAAACAAGAAGTAAACCGTTCCCCAGTATTTTTGCATGTCAAAGACAAAGTAACGCTCAAATGAAGTGTGACGTGATGAGACTTTTTCTAGATGCTTCAGAGGGGCCAGGATTTTATCCATGGAATAAATTGGGAACTATTTCTGCAAGACAGAGTCCAAACATTGGCAAGGGAAGCTTCAATAGGTTTTTGCATGACACGAGGCCAAAAATGTTCACATATGACTGATGTCTCAAATTCCATGGCAAAAATCCTACCGAGTTCAACAGAAGATTTTCCCTCGACTTCAGTGGTCATAAGATCAGAAATGAGGGAGCAAAAATCAGTTTTGTGATGCTTAGTATGGATTTCAACATTATAAAACGTGTTACCAACAGCATTAGAACAGTTCATTCATATAGTACTTCTAATTAGAAAAGCATGGTCATGAGGCCCTACAGAAATTTGTAAGGGAAACCTCTGACTGCTAGTTAATGGTTGGTTTTGAATTTTAAATGCATCTTTCCCAGTAGGGTTAAGGTTAAGCGGAGCAGGTAAAACTGCTACTTCTGTACATATTTGGTTGGTTATAAACACCACTGACAGTAATACTCCCTCTCTAAGCCCTTATTAAAGTCAGCAGTATCACCTCAGTTGCACTCTCAATTTTTTTTAAAAGATGAAACAACAGTGCTGAGCACCCTGTTAGTGGTTAGGCAATAAAATACAAAATTACCCCTGTAACATGGTATATAACATTACGCGTAGAGTTTTCCAAACCCTTTAACTAACAGTCAATTAGAAGCCTAAGCGACCAGTACTTCTGCAAAATGCGGCTGAGCTTTTTTTTTTGCTTTAAACATTGCCTTAGAGTCCAAGCTCTTTCTGCCTGATAGACTAGTTTTATTCCAGTGAAATAAAGACACTCCATTTCCAAAATTTATAGGGTTCATTTATTACCTCTAGTAACATATTATACTGTATAAATACTCTATCCTTGTTATATGTCCTTTTAAAAAAGCGATAACTTAGAAGATCACATTAGACAAGAAGTATAAAAATAAATACGCTCATTATATGCATTTATTACAAATTATAACCCTTCCCAGAAGGGAAAGAAATAGAAAATACTTATAAAGTATATAAAATCTATAGTAATATATTTTACTATATACATATGGAAAGCCATATTCTCTCATTGTCTATGGACTGGCACAAACTTTAATTATGCAAATGTTGGCGTACTGCTGTGGATGGACCTGCTATCCTTCAGCTTTGTCTTCCCGCCTTATCAGTGATTTGAGCACTACAAACCTATCAGAGGCCGCACGGGAGAGCTTCCCATTCATAGCGGGGATTTCTTTGATCTCTTTTTACCCAAATGCAAATAATTACTATTGGCTGGCGTTAAGGTAAAAGATCTGAGCGTGAAAGCATGACTCAAACCCTCACTGCCATGAGTCTAGTAACAGTATGGTAGGACCAAGTTTGAATCAAAAAAAGCTAGTGGAAGTCATGCAGAAGGCACAAAGAGCAACTACTCATAGGCACTACCTGCTCCATGAAGATTTCCACTCTTTCTAGCCGCTGGATTACATACGTCACTACAACTGCATCAGAGTGGATGAGAGAAATGGACAGGCACATCGGGATGATATAAAGACACTTTAAAAAAGATAACATTCTAGTCATTTGTGGAGTTGACTGACTGTCCTTGATTATTTTTTTGCTCTTTACAGGTAGAGAATATGGCTTTGTTTTTATATAAAACTATTATCTGAAACAATAGCAGCCATGAATGACATAGTTAAAGCTCCTTTTCTAATCCTGTTTTTTGCCCTTTGTGAGGTAGGTAAGCCCTGACCAATTATTTTAAGCTATCTTTTCCACTCCCCTGTCCCTCCCCTTAAAAAAACCTGGGGACTTGATCAGTACCACAAAACAAATCCAAAAGAAAGGAAAAATAACCCAACCCCCAAATGTTTGCTTAAACATGTTTTGGCCACTGCTTATGTTTTGTTTCATTTGTAACATACTTAAAAAAGGAAATTATAATGCCCTAGGGCCCTATCTGCTGAAGATGAGTTAGTGACACTGGTCTGCTATCCTATCAAATTTGCAGTCGGCAGGATATTTTTACGATGCAACACCAACTAAAATTATTTGCACTGTCCCACCTCAGTGGATCCTCCCATTAACTGTATACGCAAAACACATGCGCTACCTCTAGCCCTCTTATTTTCAGTGCATTGTTCTGAAGGAAAAAAAAAATTTAGCTTTCCCAACTTATACTATTTAACTGCAGTCCGTAACATTACAGAAGTCTATCAGGTGTTTCGGCTTCTTGGAAGGCTCACAGCTTTCTTGTGGCAGTACGCTGCCGTCATAAGAAATACATTTTAACAATCTCTTCTTGAAACCCTTCCCGCACGTCTTGGAACAAGGCGACCAGTCCCCCAGCTGCCACTGTGGGCAAGGCACATCCGCGCAGGGCCGGACGTCGCTGGGCTTCAGCTCCCTGGCGCAGTCCGCGGCCGGCTGCCCTCGCAGGTCCCGGCACTCGACCGAGCGCCGCTGCCAGCCAGAGCCGCACGACTTGGAGCACTCACCCCACTCCTCGATGACCCACTCGGATGAGATGATCTCCCGGATGGCATTAAAAGACTCTTTCTTTTTACTGGGCGCCTTCTCAGAGCCGGGCTGCACAGGCTTCTTCACAAAATAGGTGAACTTGATCTTAGGCTGGGGCAGGTCGCCGACCGTGAGGACCTGGACGGTCAGAGGCTCCTTCAGAGGGCTGAAGCTGCGGATCCTCTCCAGGGCGGCGGAGGAGCCGCTGTACCTCAGCACGCTGCCTTTGTAAGTGATGTCCTGCTCCAGCGTCGATAGGGTGTAATCACCGTTTAGGATGTACGTGCCGTCGGCAGCTTTAATAGCGAGGAAACTGCCATCGTGTCTGGCACCCCTGTGATTTCGCTGCTTGACCTCAATGTTGGTCGCTCCGGCCGGAATGGTGACCACGTCGTGATAGCCAGGTCTGCTGGAGAGAAAACACATACTGAGTCCTCAGCTCTTCCCTGGCAGAACAAAAGAGTTGTTCAGCACAGGCCGAATTTCGTTTGAAGTTGAAGCATTAAGCCCGTGAGCTATGGACTTAATGAAACTCATGGATTAAGTGATTGGCCAAGTCACGTCCCACAGCGTTGCTACCGCAGAGGTGTGCCCGCATGTAAGGGACTTCCTTTGACTGGGATCTCAGCCAATCAACTGTTTTTGACAGATTAAATCTCAGTTCCAAGGACAATCTCTCCTTGCCTTTGAAACCAAAAGGTTACCCCCACCAGAAGTTAGCTAGAAAAAAACAACAGCTGCAGTTATACACTCACTTTGCTCTAACAAACGTGCCAGAGACTTTCTTACAAGTGGAGCCATTGCCACCGCAGATACCGCATTTGTCAAACTTCTTATTGGACCCTATCATCCGGTCACAGCCAGCCTTCACGCATTGCCCCTGGACGCAGACCGAGGTGGAATCGGGGCTGCATGGGGTACCGTCCACAACCTTTAAAGGAAGAGCAGTAGGGCGCTTGATTAGAAGATGCACGTTTCTTTGAAATTGTATAATACAGGCATATTAGAAATGTAAAATATGGCCAGTGGGAAGACCTGTGGTACCTGTATTCTCAAGGCTTTTGAAACTAAAAACAAGGGCAGCCTGTAGATAGTCGGAGGTATGTAGAGCTAATTCATCTCACTCTCAACATAACGATGACCGACAGCAACAGGAGAAACCAACCAATTTTACTTTATTTTAAAATAAAAAGTTTTACTAATTTCATATAGAGGAAGAACATCTTTTAATGATGCCACTGGAAGGTAGTCCTGTCCTCGAAGTACAAGGACGAAAATTGCTTTCAAGGGCGTCCAATCTATCTTTTCTTTCTAGGAATACTTCTCTACAAAAACCATCTGTGTCGTCACCCTGGTAGTTATTGGCTCTCAACGTCTCATGACAGCGAATTCAAGTAGCTATGCAAGATGAATACTTTTCCTTTTGTTTATTTTAAACTGTCAGCATATTAGTAACCAGTATGAGAAATCGCCGCTGTTTTGGCAAAGAAGCTCCACAGTTTTCCAAACGTATCTCAGTGAAATCAACTTGGTGGAAGGAGAGGAAAGGAAACTAGGGTGGAGTGGATAGAAAAGGCAGTATGTGTGAAATAATTGGAAGAATTGTGCCAGAACATTTGAAGCAGGCTTGTACTGATCAGACTGTACAAGCACGGAGAGAAAAAGGAACAATCTAGCTTAAATATAGGAAAACAAAAATAATTTCAGCCACTGCCCTTGACTCTAAATTTACATAGAGAATTAGAGAAAATAAAACCCTTTTCATGATTAGATGGAAGAAATACAGTTTTGAAATACCTTTGGCTGTAAAACAAAGAAATATCCCGTTCCCTTTGCTCGGCAGACCAGCTTGCATCTGTCCTTTGGAGAGACACCAGCAAACTTTGGTGTCCATTCCACTGCAGGTCCACTTCCAAAGGGGGACTTGGAAAACTCATTGTGCTTTTCACATTGCTCCTCTCTAAACGTTTTGCCTGCAGGCAGAGGAAAGACAGGTAGACATTAGACCATCCTCTTTACGTGGCCTTTCCCCACAAGATCCTCTTCCTCCACATCAAGAAATGAGAATAGCTTACCATCATTATCTGGACAGTCCTCGACATTGCACGATCTGTATTGCACCCGCTTCCCTTCGCAGTACTTCCCCCCGTTCCTGGGGATGGGATTGTCGCACTCCCTGAATGAGTACTGCACCCCACCACCGCAGGTCCGGGAGCACTCGCCCCAGGGCCCCCACAAGCCCCAGCCGCCATGCACTGGTGTCTGGAACAACAAGCAAGGGCAGAAAAAAAGTTAATCTAGTGGAAAAACATAATACAGTACAACAAATGTAAAAAAAATACACATTTTTATCTAAGCCTCTTCTATAAAAAAGCTATAAGCTTGTTTTATTCGCTCTCCACCTCCATTTGCTCAAGTCCTTAAGTCTGGCTTGATTATTCGTGCTGAAGTATTATTTATGCTACTCTGCAACCTAAGATATAGCCTGATTTTCTTAATACTTACATCATAATGCTTCTTCTCAGTTTTATTCACACACTTGCCATTCATGCACCATTTCCCTTCTCCACAACTGGTGCCGTCTGCCCAAGGGAAGTGTTTAGTTTGGCACACAAGCAGTCCTCCAGAAGTGCCAGTACACCACAAGGTCGTACACGTACTGGCTGCGTCGGGGCAGTGTTTGGACTCATCTCCAAATGTAAACTGGCACTGCCTGTTGGCATCATACAACGTGCCAGGCAAGTCAGAAGGAAGCTGTATTGGTTTGTGTGGTTTGTCCAATAAACACTCACCTGAAAAAGAAGGGGAAAAAATGCAGATGATGCTGTCAGCGAGCTCAGCTTCTACAGGGGAAAATCGTATTTCCATCTCTGGAACTGGATTTGCTTTATAAAAATAACTCTTCAAGCCAATTTGTGCCACCAATTATGTAAAACTAGGGGACCTATAAAATTATTGGCAGCATAGAAAAGGTTAATAGAAAGCAGAAAGTGCTCCATTAAAAGAAAGAACAAAAAAGCAAAAGAAAAAAGAAAAAAAAGCAAGCAAAAAGAAAAGCAAAAAGCAGTAAAACACGTGGGCTTAAATGCCAAAAGCTAAATAACCTTACCATGACCATTATCCAAAAATGTTGTAATCATGTAGGCACTACATGGAGACCAAGGCTGGCTTCGATCCAGATTGGAAAGCATAGATGCCATCATGTGGAAATCCCGGCTTATTCCATTAATACTAGCACACTGCTTTGCATCATCATGAGGCATGTTAAACACGTGGCCTTAAAAAAAAAAAAAAAAAAAGACTGTGATTTTAGGAAGTCTGTCCCATGCAAACCAAGATTATTTTAAATGTTACTCTAGAGCTAATCATAGGCTAGTCTTTAGATATTGAAAGAACATCCTGATCTGAATACTGCCAAATTTTAAACAGATTACAAGTTATCTTTGCCTTTCTCATAAGCTAATTTAATACACATGCTTTTTTTCTGCAACCACAGTCAAAGATTCAGCTCTTGCAGACAATGCTATGCAGATTTGATTGCTTTCCAAAGCGCAGTCCTGCTGCATGGAGGATGCCTTGGCTCCTCCAGATTGCTCCCAGGGGAGCCCAGGGTGCTCAGAGCCCCGCAGGGCGAGCCCCAAACGCAGGCTAGGGCATTCTTCACTTTATGGCATCAGGCTGCTTTCAATTAATCAACAGAAATCTCATTTCAGATTTCAAGTACCTAGCTCGTGGGCTGTTGTAAAGGCAGCCTGCAAACCGTCGTCTTCTATGATAGAGCAACTGCGGTTTAGATCACAAACTGTTCCCACATCAGCCATCCCAAGAGTATCACATGTCTTGGCACCGCAGAGGTCCTGTAGAAAAAGGCAGTTTCATTATTAATCAGATCAGAGACTTAACCTTGGCAAGAAAAATCCAACCCTGGCAGGTTGCCTTTACTTATGGAAAGAGCATAAATATTCAGCACTTCAATGGGTATGATGGCAAAAATCTGTCTTTGGAACATACACAGGGGTTACACGTAGAAATAAAATGCATAATTTCCAGACTAAATCCACTAAAAATATACGGCAGAAACACACTGCATGTACTGTGAGTTTCACCTGAGATAGCACAAATAGTAAAATAAATGAATAAATAAGGAGGGGATCGTTTCATTTTTACCCTGCTTAGTGGAACCCATGGTGGCCAAGGACTGATTCTGAGGCATTTTTAAAGGACTACTAACAAAGAGGGCTTCTGGGGTGGGGAGTAATGGGTACAGGGGAGAATTCAGCCCCTTTTTCCCTTACCTGTCTGGTGAAGAGGATCGCTGTGTCGTAGTGCTCAGCGTGCCGGTCGCTGGGCGGGTTGTGCTGCTTCTGCCAGCTGCAGAAGTTCCTCAAAGTCAGGGCGGCGTTGGAAGATATGTCGGGCCCCTTCCGCTCCTCGTAAATGACCATGATTTTCACCACGACCAGGCTGATGGAGTTGCGAATGCTGGGATGCTTGTAGAGCTTGGCCGCCACTGAGAGCAGCGTCAGGAGGTAGTGCTTGAGCCCGCTGCCGTGGAACTCGGCCATGGACTGGTCGGCCACCAGCATGGTCTCCACATAGCGTGGGCTGGACACGAACCTTTTCTGCCTTCTGCTTCTACTTTCTGTATTAAAAAAGAAACGGGACGGGGGAGGGAGGGGGGGAGGAAAAAAGCACGCACGTGAATAGGAGAGACACGTCGCTCTGAGAGACCGCGCAAATCACTGCGATTCACTGAGCGGCGTGCAAGATCCGCGTCTCAGGCAAACACCGCGCGGCCGCTGAGGGGCCCCG